TTATATTTTACGCTTATACAAGATGTTCAACGGTCTGCCATCTTTTCAAACACCAACGAGTTGAACGAAAATTATCTTTCTACACGCAGGGAAATTTTCAGAAAAAAGTCAATATCACCAGGTGTCTGGCTACGTGTGCGTATTCGTCCATTTTTGTTTGTTAAATTTCTCTCTGAAAGAAATTACCAAACTCAATGAAAAACGTGCAATTAATATTCTAGAAATAAAACAACTAGAAAGCAATAAAATCATGCCCTGAATATCATCTCATACTCGAAAGAAAAATTTATTGGTAATAATATTTCGAATCAAACACTTTTCAACACCTCCGTTTACTGCACTTTTCATCCAAAATATTACTAAATCATGAATTTTCGATACTCGTTCGTACACCCACTATAAACTTTCTACATTCATTCGCAACTCAACTGAAGAGAGAATCCTACGAATCTAAACAATTCTGAAGAATTGTCTAGAAAAGATAAAAAAAGAAAAAGAGCTAACCTTTGCGTTGCAACACTTCTTGCTACCCGTCGGCGTCTGCGGTCCTCTCTTAGAACTGTCAGGCTTGCCAAACAGATCCTCCTCAAATTGTTTGATCATCAAATACTGCTGCGTGATGTTCATCAAAGAGTCTTGATCGTACGTATCTTTAACTATGGAATTACTCAGAGCTCCACTTTTATCACCTGGCGGAGTCGTTGGATTCGATTGGAATCGTGCCGGCGATTTGCACGAGATCCAGTCGTTCGACTTCGTTTCCTCCGGCGATTTGTCGTCCCTCGAGCTCTCCTTAGCCGAATTTACGTACACTTTGACTGTAGTTTCTTCGTTCTCATCGTCACTGCCGTACACGATGTCGAGCGACATTTTGCTCTTGTTCTCCTTGTCCGACCCGTTGGAATCCACGCGGGGAACACGCTCGCTCGACGAACGAGGATTCTTAACGTACGATGATCTCGCCGGTTTAGATTTCCACTCGCAGCTACCCGCCTCCAAATACTCGATCGATTCTCTGCCAGAGAGAATCTCTTTTTTCCTGCTCTCGTCGTTGCACTCGTTAACGAGCGTGTCGGTGTTCACGTTCGCAATGACGTCGTCGAAATTATCCTCCTGCATGAGATCTGGCAGCCTGTTCAGCAGGATCTTCACTTCGTCGATCGTCGCCCCAAAGTCAGGCGAGTCCTGGTCGGTGACCTTAGGCGCCTCCCTAACTTCTAAGCTCTTCCTCCGTAACTCGGTCCTCCGAAAGCTGCACGATCTCTCTCTGTTGTTACATTCGTCAACGGTGAAATCTGAATGTTGTCTGCGCTGCAGCGCTGTGGACAGTTTGTCAGTGGCTTTGTCACGTTGGTACGACGACGAGCCAGCTTTCGCCGAGGTATTGTCCTCGGACTTGCGCCGACACGCGTTCCTCGAGTCAGAGGAATCGCGACTCTGTCCGTCGAGCTTGCCCTTCTTTCTGTACCTGTCGTCCACCTCCAACCAACTGTTCACGATCGCGCACAAGTCCTCGTTGACGGAATCGGGGGAAACGGCTCGTTTCCGCTTCGTTGGCGCGCAATCACTCGCGAGACTCTTGCAGCCGGCAGCAGCCTTGTTGCTCGCGCAGCCGGTGTTCATCGAATCACCGTCCGAACTTTCGAACGATAGAATTCGCTTGTACACCTTTTTCTCCTTTTTCTTATCGCTGGGCGCGATATCCGGGTCGGAGCTGAGTGACACCACGTCGATGTCCTTGGTGCTGGGATTGGACAACTCGGATTTCTCTCCTAAGCTGCTTCCCTTCACCAATGGCAGGTCCTCTTTGTCCGAGTTCCTGATGCACGTGGCTTGCGACGAGAAACTGTGATCGGAACTACGATCGTCCTGCTCGTCCTCCTCCTCCTTCTCCTCCTTCCCCTCC